AATCTATCTACCAATCTTGGCCTACGCTACAACAGCTGATGTAAGATTGTATAATCATGCCGAGATTCATCGATGGTTGGACTTGGGATTCAACGGAATCCGTACCAGCGAACTTGGTCCGACTCGTAAAGGATAACAAGAAGATCTCAGATAAAACTCACAAGAGCGAGACCATCATGTCATCAGTGACACAGCTAGTCATGAGACGAAAACCAGCGCCAGCGTTCGCAAGTGCATCAACGGAATCCACCCGAACAACATACAGCCTCTGGCTTGGATCGGGTATCACTGGTGGTAAAGTTGGAAGGTGTTTTTCGTACATGGCTACTTCTTCCTTAAGGAAAAAAAAACGCTCGCATGCGAGGAGATCTACAAACTCTAGACTTACATCTAAGAGCCTGTCAAATTCATTTTCATCAGTGACACGAGTTCTTCTGGGATCCTCGAGGAAAGTCAAATCTACGCAACTCTTACGACCACCGCCACGAGGCCGGCCGCGTCCTCCACGACCTCCTCGGCTTTTGCTCTAAAAAAGTTGACAGTTACCCTGACCTAATCTGATATGGAAAAATTAACTTACAAATGTCTCTCTGGCTTTTGACATTTCTTCACGTAACAAAAGCTTCGTGTTGTAAGTTTTCACCGGCTAAAATGTTTTTAGTAAAGCTTGCACTGAGAATTTGAGACTGATTTAGTGGACGAAATCTGTCTCTAACATTTTGACTTGAATTATGAATAGCAAATTCACGCAAAAAGTTTACTCAGAGAAAATAAACATGAAGTGACCTTGCGATTTCGACGGCTAGTTCGTCGGTTAGGTTCGAACTCCGGATCATTTGGATCCTCCTCAGGTTCTTCCACTTCATCTGCTTCCTCCTCTTCAGCACCGTCATCGTCTAAGACAAGATCATCCTCATCATCTTCGGTACTATCGGTACTGTCATGTCTTACGCGAGTTTTTCGTTTTCTTTTCTAAACAGATCCGATAAAACAATGCTCAAGTAATTAGGCTTACATACCTTAGTAGTTTCATGCGATTTCACTGATTCACTTTTTTTCGGCCGTCCTCTCTTTCTTTTGGGGGTCTGACCATCCGAAACATCCTCGCGAGCACGCATTTCGCTGAGCTGCTCCCGCACTCGGTCCTAACAATAAGGAAGAATTGGATTCACTAGATGTATACCAACATATTACATAGTTGTTAAGATATCCATTATCTGAAGCAATTCAAACACATTCTGTGATTTTCGTCCATAAAAAATCGTAAATTCATGCGCTTTCTCAACCACGTTACTCTCAAATATGCATGTGATTTGTTATTGCTTGTGATCGGCCGAAATAATTTCCAAAATTCAAAAGTCGAATTTTAGCCTTGTAAAAGTTTTTAAGAGCCAAAAATTTCCGGACCGCCAGTGTATATATAAGGACATGGTTCGTTCGCATCATTGTCAAAAATTCATGACTTCCTTCCTTCTCAGCCGATTTGCACACGTCCACTCTTATTTGAAAGTAGCAATCAAGTTCTTTCCACTAGTACCTAAAGCACCTTTTGATAAAAGCTAGCGCCGATGGAGACTCAAGGAGAAATCAATCAAATTTTGATTTTCCCGTTTTTGGTCGTGAAAATTCCGAAATTTGCAGCAAAAATTGCAGTCACTTTTATGAGTTTCGTGCACTGCTTCCCCTAACTGAGCAAAACTGTGCTGAGCAGATGTCTCAAAGAGAAGTTTTTTTT